TTTAGAACATATAAAAAAATTTTTTTTTATTTGGCAAGAAAAAAAACTCTCTATAGCTTAAAAGCTTGATATATTTTCTGTAATTTCCCTTGGTTTCATGTTTGTATCTCTTTAGTTGAAGGCTCTGATACAATTTTATTTATATAGTTTTTATATATATATTATTTTTTTAAAGAAAAAAAGTTATTGATCGACATTATGTTACATCAATTAATTTTCCAATCAACTATGGTCTATCCGGAGATAAAACGCGTCACTTTAAAGTTCCCTCAAGAACTACCTAAAGAGGATCCTACTAAAATAATTGCATATATCAGCAGAGATGTTAATCTAACAAATCAGGTAGAGAAAGCTCTAGCTGTCTTTGAAGAGAGATGTAATTACTTGAAGCCTGGTATGTTCTCACAGAGATTTAATCAAAGTATAAAATACACGTGGCCCATCTTTTTGATAGCTGTTTTTTATTGCTTTCGCCTACATTATTTCATATTTGTTAATAATAATTTATATATACACATATATATCCTTAACAAACGAAGAAAAATGGTAATGACGATGAAAAGCTAGGAAGAGCTTGAAATAATTTGAAGAATGCATCCAAAGAAATCCAGTCTCTTTATTTGTCTAAAGATATCTCCTATGTTTTAGGTGGTGATGATTAAGGTTCCAATATATCGGTGATTGTTATATTCACCTTTCAAAGATTATTCTTGAGGATGACAATCTCCGTCGTTTGCGTATTACTGGCAACCCGGGAGTTGGAAAAACTTTCTTTGGTTATTATCTATAATTTATCTGCTTGCAATGCAAAATAAAAACGGTTACATATCACGAACGTGACAAATCACCAATTATTTTCAGTGAAGAAACCGTTTATAGATAATGTTTATGAATTCAAGGATCTTCTGGGAAAAAGAGATGTGTGGTATATTGTGGATAGTCGAAAACCAACAGAATTTCATGCCAAGATGATTATCGTCTGTTCACCCCAGAAGCGTTACTATCTTACATTTGACAATCTCGGTACAGTTGTTCGGTATGTGACAGTATGGTATCGTGCGGAAATTGAGAAAATGTAAGAATAAACTTTTTCCTAATCTTAATCAAGGATCGGTTCGAGCTTATATAATAAATGTGAGTGGAGGATTCCTCGATATACGTTGTGTTGTGCGCTTAATGGTAGTCAACAAGCTCTTTTCCAAATGGCCATTTAACTCTGTTAATGAAAGAATATTGGACTTTGTTGGCGAAACCACAGATGATAATAGTAGCAGCTGCAGACTTGTACATATCCGTACAAATGTACCACAAGTATATAGAAGAAAAAACTTCCTTAGTAACTAAACCAGATAAGGGAAAGGTAGTGCATCAATTAAAGCAGAAATAGAAAAAGATATTATAGGGGCACCTTTCTAATTATAGGTTATGTTTTCGGGGAGGTAATAGATAAATTTACAATTCATCATAGGAATAATCAGTTGCTGGATTTTGTGAAAAATAGTTCGCTAATAAGTGAATACAGTACACTCCGAGGTACAATATTTGAGCGAATTGCTCATCGAAAATTACCAAGTAGGGAGTCTTTTAGGACTCATCCCTTATTTGACAAACTTTCTCCTGCTTTGGGAACGGTAATTCCAAATTTAAATTGCCTACAAGGGACAAATTATCATTCAATGACGTTGGAGAGATTGCACCTAACAATTACTGTATTACCAACTCAAAAAAAAATTTTGCATCTGTTGATGCGATTGTTCAACCCCAACATATTCTTTCAAATGACTATTTCCAAAAATCACCATATCAACATAAATGGTTTGCGAGAACTTATTAACAAAAATGAAAATTCGGATATTTAAATTTTATTTTGTCGAGAACAGGATCTTCATACTAATACTTGGCGAAATACTGTTGTCCAGCGTAGATCACTTTGGACTAGCCGTCTTAAACAATATGTTTTAGAGCTTGGTTTAAAATTATAAAATTTTTTTTATCACGAAATGATGTTTTGCAATATAATTAAAAATAACAAAGGCATTGTTTATATATTAATTTTTAATAAATATTTGTGCTTCTAAATTTATTGTAAACTTATGCAAATGCGTACATAAAAAATCTGATATTTTTTATTTTTTGCTCGAATTTTGATTTATGTAGTATAGAGTGATTTTACCCGAGGTCAGGGAATTGCAAAGAAAATGGATCAGATCTGGAAAATATAGCTCACTTATATGAAGAAGCATGTAATGCAGAAGATGAATCTGATCAGGTAGAAAATTTTAAAGTAATTTTATTACAGCATCAGATAATGAAATTATAGTTAAAGATAAAATATGTATGAAAAATCCAAAAATCTGATTCACGATTTTATTGTTGAGCAGAGTCCTGGCACTAAACGAGAAACTCTATAAAAAAAAACAAAAGAGCTAGATTATTCGAAAAAATTGGATTAGATAAAATCCAATATCAAAAGTTTACTATTACTCAAATCCAAGATATTATAAATCATTTATCTAAGAACTCCAATATGAATTGCCCTATAATACTGTTGATTACTGGAAACTGAGATGAGTATGCCAACCAAAACTCAAATATCTAAATCTTTCAGCCTGATTACGCCAATCTCATCAAAAACTGAGGCAAAGCATATCACTCACATTCCAAATTCCTGAGAAACCTCAAATTTCGAAAACATCCAATGCTACTCCAAAGCTCTTTTCATTTAAGAAGAAGCTGGCAGAGGAGAAGTGTGATCAAACCATTAATTTGTTGATAACGTACTTCAATAATCTTCACGCCTAGATCTGCATTTTAGTATAGATAAGGAAGGAGAATCAGATAGATAGCTATTGGATTCTTGGTTCGCATTGTCCACTGTGCAGAAGAAGGCATATGGGTTTGAGGGCAAGTTGTAGATCTATATAGTTGAGGCTTATTATTTACATTGCGATTATCTAGCACTAAAAGCATGCTTTAAAAATTCGGCTCCGAATCAATCTATTATTATTATATTTCCAGATATAGACTTGGTAGTAATAGCATAAGGGAACCTC